AAGTTTGCTAGGCTCCGTGGGTCTGGTTCTTTTGCACGCGGGAAGGGATACGTCTGGACTGCACTCGGCGACGGGGAGAGGCAAGAGGTTGATCAGACCTCAGCTGCCTGCTTTAAATGCACTGGGTCCGTAAGGATCCGCAGCGCTTAGAGATCTTCACACAGCGTGAAGTCTCCTCCTCCCGGTGTTCGTGGAGTCCTCCAACTTGGGCGGAAACCACTCAAGCCTCTTATACGGCTAGCAAGCCAATCACTAGCCGCTACGTGTGAATAATTTAGAACTGGCCAATAATGGGGCTCAAATTAGCATACAAATGGCGGGAACTCTTTGCAACGAGCATTTCTGTGCTGCAACAAAGAAATGCACCCTGCAAAGAAAGCTTTAAATTGGCGGGAAATTCTCCCTTGCACCGGGGGTCTCTTTTGCAGCAGAAAACTCCACCGTGCAAGGAAGCTATAATTTAGCGGGAACAATTTAGCAGTGCCGAAGCACACAAAAACAAAAATCACACCCTTTGGGTTGTGACAGACCTGTTCATCATGCATCTGCTAATGCATGATAAAGTGCGGTTAGCCTTGTTGATCACTTCGTCACATTGACGACTCGTGTTCACCTTGGAGTCAACTATGACTCCAAGATCCCTTTCTGCTGCTGTGCTGCTGAGAAGGTCATCCCCCAGCCTGTGTGTCATTGGTTCTTTTTGCCCAGGTGCAGCACTTTGCACTTGTCTTTGTTGAACTGCATCCACATTGGCCCTTTTCCAGTCCTCTGGGACTTGACTGGAGCACCATGAGTGCTCGAACAGCCATGCCAGCAGCTCTGCTATGACACTGGCCAATTCCTTCAGCACCCTTGGATGAAGTTCATCCAGGCCCACTGATTTGAACATGTCCAGCCCCTCCAGGTGCCTCTTCACTAACTCTGCATGTCCTTCCTGTGTCTGTCTATGATCCAACTGGGAGATTTGTCTTGGCCTGTGTCTAGGAATACAGATGCAAAAAACTCATTGAAGAGCTCAGCTTTGTCTCCCCTCCATCACCAGTTGCCCTAGTTTGTCCTGTAGAGGTCCTATGCTACCCTGCGCCCTGCATTTTTCCTAGTTTTGTTACCTGTAGCTCCAAAACTTGACATAGGATTCCAGGTGAGGCGTCACCAGTCCCAAATAGAGCAGAGGACTCGCTTTCCCAACAGTATGCTGTTGACTACTTTTGCAACTATCTGTTTAGGCCAAGAAACAACCTGACAATATTTGTAGGTATCAGTTAATGACTTAAAAGAACAATTTTTATACCAAGAATATGCATCCTCGAAGGGAGGAAAATCCTCTCAAAAACACCAGGATTTTTAAAAAATTTATCAAGGGTCTGAATATCTTGCCATTCTTCTTAATGTGTTCTGTGAAATAACTGATTGCGCTCTTCTCTTCAGAAAAGCAGACTTTGACTTGTTCAGGGAACTCATGGGCAGAATCCCCTGGGAATCCAGTCTGAGAGGGAGAGGAGTCCAGGAGAGCTGGTTGTACTTTAAAGAAACCTTACTGAGGGTGCAGGAACAAACCATCCCAATGTGCAGGAAGACTAGCAACTATGGCACAAGACAAGCCTGGCTTAGCAGGGAACTCCTCAGTAAACTAAAACAGAAAGGAAGCTTACAAGAAGTGGAAACTTAGACAAGTGACTAGGGAGTAGTATAGGAATTGTTCAAGCATGAAGGGATGAAATCAAGAAGGCCAAAGTGCAATTGGAGTTGCAGCTAGCAAGGGACATGAAGGGTAATGAGAAGGGCTTTTTCTACAAGTATATCAGCAACAAGACAAAGATTAGGAAAAGTGTTGGGTCCCCTAAACTGAATGGAGGAAGCAACCTAGTGACAGATGATGTGGTGAGACTGTGGGGAGACCAGTGAATGTGGTGTACTTTAATTTTTAGCAAGTCTTTTGATACGGTCTCCCACATCATTCTTGCAGGCAAGCTAAAGAAGTATGGGCTAGATGAATGGACTGTAAGGTGGATCGAAAACTGACTGGAGCATCAGGCTCAAAGAGTAGTAATCAATGGCTCGATGTCTAGTTGACAGCTGGTATCAAGTGGAGTGCCCCACGGGTTGGTCCTGGGGCCGGTTTTGTTCGATGTCTTCAGTGACCTGGAAGATGGCATAGTGCGCACCCTCAGCAAATTTGCCAATGATACCAGGCTGGGGGGAGTAGTAGATATGCTGGAGGGTAGGGCTGGGATTCAGAGTGACCTAGACAAATTGGAGGATTGGGCCAAAAGAAATCTTATGAGGTTCAACAAGGGCAAGTACAAATTCCTGCACTTAGGACAGAACAATCCCATGCACCAGCACAAGCTGGGGGCTGACTGGCTGGGCAGCAGCTCTTCAGAAAAGGACCTGTGGGTTACAGTGGACAGTAAGCTGAATATTAGCCAGCAGTGTGCCCTTGTTGCCAAGAAGGCTAACGGTGTACTGGGTTGCATTGGTAGGTATGTTGTCAGCTGGTAAAAGGAAGTGATTATTTCCCTCTATTCAGCACTGGTAAGGCTGCATCTGGAGTACTGTGTCCAGTTTTGCCTCCCCCCCTCCCCCACCTTCCCCACCCTCCCACACTACAGAAAGGATGCGGAGAAATTGAAGAGAGTCCAGCCAAAGGGCAACAACACTGTTGAGGGGGCTGGGGGACATGACTTCTGAGGGAACTGGGCTGATTTAGTCTAGAGAAGAGGAGACTGAGAGGGGACTTAGTAGCAGCCTTCAACTACCTGAAAGGGGTCAAAAGAGGATGGAACTAGACTGTTCTCAGTGGTGGCAAATGACAAAACAGGGAGCAATGGTCTCAAGTTGTAGCAAGGGAAGTTTAGGTTAGATATTAGGAAGAATTTTCTCAGTAGGAAGGTAGTAAACACTGGAACAGGTCACCCAGAGAGGTGGTGGAAACTCCATCCTTGGAGGTTCTTAAGCCCTAGCTAGAAAAAGCTTTGGCTGGGATGATCTAGTTGGGGATGGTCCTGCTTGGAGCAGGGGCTTGGACTAGATGACCTCCTGAGGTCCCTTCCAACCCTAACTTTCTATGATTCTGTGGGGAAAAGGCTGAAGTGCTCAATGCCTTTTTCACCTTAGTCTTCACAGGCAGGGTCAGCTCCCAGACTGCTGCACCTAGCAGCACAGTTTGGGGTGGAGGTGAGCAGCTAACAGTGGCAAAAAGAACAGGTTAGGGAGTATTTAGAAAAACTGGATGTATACAAGTCCATGGAGGAGGATGCAATGCACTCAAGGGTGTGACCCCTTAAGCCAATTTGGCACCCACCTGACTGTAATCATCTACATCACAGCCTGTCAGTTTATTTATGAGAACAGAATGAGATACTGTATCAAAGATCTTCTAAAAGTCTAGGTAGATGAGGGGGTTGACTGATGTGATTGCAGAGCCACCGGCCATTATCTTTGAAAACTTGTGGTCGGGAGGGGTACTGGATGATTGGAAAAGGACATATACAGTGCCCATCTTTAAGTGAGGGAAGCAGGAGGATCTAGGGAACTATAGACTTTAGCCTCACCTCATTCCCTGGAAAAATCGTGGAGCAGATCCTCAAGGGATCCATTTCTAAGCACTTGGAGGAGAAGAAGGTGATTAGGAACAGTCAGCAGGTGCAAGTCATACCCGATCAAC